GTACCCCAGTTTTAATTGGATTATTTGATTTGTTGCTATTTAACTTCTTTTTTTAAGTTTTTTATTTTTATGTTTATTAATTAGAGTTTATTCACTGTGTATCCCCCCTGTAGCTCTCTCCCTCCTCCCCTCCCAATCTCACCTTCCCTCCCCCTTCTCCACGCATTCTCCCCCTCCTGTCCACTAATAGGAGAGGTCTTCCTCCCCTTTCTTCTGATCCTAGTCTATCAGGTCTCATCAGACTTCATTGTCTTCCTCTATGGCCTGTTAATGCTGCTCCTCACTCAGGGTGAGGTTATCAAAGAACAGGCCAATCAGTTCATGTCAGAGATAGTCCCTGTTTCCATTACTCTGGAACCCACTTGGACACAGAACTGCAATGGTCTACATCTGTGCAGGGGTTCTAGGTTATCTCCATGAATGGTCCTTGGTTGAAGTATCAGTCTCAGGAAGGACCACTGTGCCCAGATATTTTGGTTCTGTTGCTCACCTTGTGGCACCCCTGTCCTCTCCAGGTCTTACCCACTTCTTTCATAAGATTGTCTACACTCTGCCCAAAGTTTGGCTATAAGTCAAAGTATAAGTATCTGCTTTGATACCGTGCATGGTCGAGTCTTTCAGAGGCCCTTTGTAATAGGCTCCTCTCCTGTACCCTGTTTTCTCCCTCTTCTGATGTCCATCCTCTTTGCCTTTCTGAATGGGGACTTCAATGTTGAGAATGCTGTTACAAGGATACCTATGTTTACCCCAGTGGGTGGGAGGGATCCAATGTCTGGCTGCTAGTGTATAGGGACTCTGGATCTGGGACTCTGCACGCACTCACCTGAAGGTGCACTCACTGGCTCACAGGCCTAATCAGAAAGTGCAGGGGTTCCCTTCTTTTCTACTTTCAGATTTGGTCCTTCAGGGGTAAGTAGGAGATCTGTTAGCTCGGTGGTGTCCACTATTTGGCAGCTTGTCAGGGAGACCTGTACTTTGGCTAGCCTCCTCTGCCATCTCAGTCACTGAGCATGGAGGCTCCTGTTGGAGATAGCCACCAACCCTTCGCAGCTACAAACCTGGAAGGCCCATACTGCTGCCGCCTCTGTTGTCTCAGTCACTGAGAAGCTAGGCCTAGCTTTTGCACAGCTATAGAGGCAGATCTAGTAGGCCTGTACAGCTGCCTGCCACAGCTGCAGGCCTGGGAGTCCCTCCTCTGCAGTCTTAGTCACAGAGCTTGGAGGCTTGTGCTTGGGGCAACCACTTCCACCTCTGCTGAGCAGGGAGGCACTTGTTTGGGGCAAAGGGAAGTGCAGTGGGGTTGAATATTCGCCACTCTCAGTCTCCTGAGGTGTCTGTGGGTGACTTGGATCCAAACTGTCCTAGCTTACGATTGTACCCTCTCACCTCTCACCCAGGAAGCTTCAATGTTGATGTTCTGGCTTCAGCTGTCCCTCCACTCACCAATTTCAGAGTTTTGGATCCTGTGCCCCTCAGACAATGTACGTGCTGGTCACTGCCATTTTGGACCACCCTCTGCAGCCTTATTTGTAATAGCCAGAATCTGGAAACAACCTAGATGTTCCTCAAGGGAGGAATGGATACAGAAATTGTGGTACATTTACACAGTGGAATACTACTCGGCAATTAAAAACAAGGAAGTAATGAAATTTGCAGGCAAATGGAAGGGAGGACTAGAAAAGATCATCCTGAACAAGGTAACCCAGAAGCAGAAAGACACACTCAGTGTATACTCACTTATAAGTAGATATAATATATGATAAACATACTAAAATCTATAGTCTTATAGAAGCTAAGTGAGGAGGAGGACCCTAGGGAAGATGCTTAATCCTCATTCAGAAGGGCAAGCAGTATTCCATTGTGTAAATGTACCTAAATGTACCACAGTGTCTGTATCTATTTCCTGGTTGAGGGACATCTAGGTTTCCAGATTCTGGCTGTTATGAATAGAGCTGCTACGAACATGGTTGAGCAAATGTCCTTTTTTTTTTTTATAGTTGAGCATATTTTGAGTATAAGCCTAGTAGTGGTATAGTTGAATCTTGATGTTGCACTATTCCTAATTTTCTGAGAAAGCGCCAGATCAATTTCCACAGTGGTTGTACAAGTTTACTTTCCTACTTCCAATGGTGGTTAAATAGAAGAACTGGAAATAGGGGATATATTAAGTTCTTATGAGTTTGGCTACAGTGTGAAAAAAAGACGCAGAGAATTAGGTAATAGGGAATATGGATTCAAGAATTTTTTTTTTTTGAGACAGGGTCTCCTGTAGCCCAGGCTGGTGTGAAACTCACTACATAGCTGACGATAACCTTGAATTGTTAGTCCTCCTTCTTTCTCACAAGTTCTGGGATTGCAGGCGTGATGCCTGCCTGACTTATTTCTTTTTCTTTCTTTTAAACATTTTTAAGAAAGATTTGTTTAATTATGTGTGTGGTTTTGCCTGCATGCATGTATATGTACCATGTGCATGCCTGATGCCCACAGAGGCCAGGAAACAGTATTAGATCACCTGTTACTGAGTTACAGATGGTTATAACCTGTCAGCTTGGTGCTGGGAACCAAACCAAGATCCTGTGGGAGAACAGTCAGTGTTCTTAACCACTGATCCATTTCTCCAGCCCCTGCTTGTCTTTGAAAGAGAAAGAGTGAGAGAATGCTTGTCTGTTAATGGGAACGGTCTGGCACTAAGGCAGAAAAATGATATTTCTGGGTAGAAAAAGAGAATTGTTACAACAATGGGCTTAAATAACTATACATGTTCTTTCTCCTTTATTTCATCTGAGTAGGATTTCTAGGTATTCTGCTATTTTAATGAGAACATCTATTGAGTCTTAATACTTAAGTGTTCTCATAAAAACAGAAGTCACTCTTCATTTTAAAATGGTCATACATTGTTGAATTGTAGTTTGTATTTCCTTAAACATAATTTCCACATGAGGTTTAATTTTTTTTCAACTATCATCTTTTCAAGACCTCTGACATTTGAATCTTGCTTCTAAAAAGCATCCATTTTTAACAAGAAAGTAAGTAACATTTGAACTGGTCCTGTTTCAAAAGTACCAACCCTAAGATGTGAAAAATATGTTCAGTGTAGTTAAACATATCTTCTATATAGGAAATGACAGAAGTGATAAAGTGTAGCCTCCTCTGATCTCATCTTTGCAGGTGGCACTATTTTTTAGTATAACTTCCCCTTCTCTACATAATATGGGAAATGTCGTAGACCTAGATTTTATGTGATGTGAGAATAAAAGAGCTGTAAATCAGATACTGTGTTCTATTTTCTACCAAGTGGCTTCTGTTTGAAAAGTTTTGTTTTATTGATTTTTTTTTGGTTTGGATTTAAGGATCAAGCCTAGAGCTTTGTGCATATAACCATGTCCTCTACCAATGATCTGCATCCCCGTTTTTTACTTTAAGGGAGTGAGATCATTGCAACAAAATAGAATTGTATTCAACTTGTATTTTTTAGGAGAAAATGGAAGATCAGAAAAACCTATACTAAATTTGGCATCTGACTGTATGTTACGAAAATGATAGGCTTGTTGTAAGTAAGAACAAATGACAGCAGTTTAGTAAAGTACTAGTAAATAATGCTAGAAATAATCCACAAAATTAGAAGTTTATTATATTTACTATCACATACAGAATAACCTAAGATCTTTCATCTAAATATGTTATTTATTTATTCATTGATATCTACTTTCAAAACTGTTATTGAACATATGTATGTGCCAGATGAAGGATATAATATAAACCTTAATGAAACATAGAGTTTAGAATATAAATAATGGTGATGTCTTCCATAAGGTCATAGGGCAAAGGTTGACTGAGTATCCCCAGTAAGCCTGGAACTCAGGATCCTTCTGCTTCAGCCTCCTAAGTGCTTGGATTATAAATATGTGTTTACACAACTGTCAAAAGAGCATGTTTTATGTCACTTTTCTTCTTAGGGCAGCTTAAATAAATTACCACAGGCCAGAGAGATACAAACAACAGAGGTTTAGTTCCTTCCTGTCCGGAATATATAAGTTTAAGATAAGAGTCTGGCAGGTTTGTTTTTTTCTCAGGCCTATGAGTATCTTTCTTCTGTGGGCCCACATGCTCTTTATTCTACATATTTAGCCCTTGTGTTTTTCTATGTGTTCACATTTCTCAGTCTTCTTCATTTTCTTCTTCTTGTTGTTCTTCCTCCTCTTCTTCCCCCTTCTTTCTCTTTCTTTGTCCCTCTTCTTCCTTCTAGACAGAGTCCCATGTAGCCCAAGATAGCTTCAAACTTGTTTTGTAGACAAGGATGACCTTGAACTTCTGATCCTTCTGCTTCTACCTCCCAAGTGCTGATATTACAAGTATGTGCTAACATGCCCTGTTTTTATGCAGTGCTGGAGTTGGAAAATCCTGTACTTCCTGCATACCAGGCAAGCAGTCTACCAGATGAGCTGTATTCCTACCCCTACCTCTCCTCTTTTTATAAAGATGCTGGTCAGATAAGAGTAACTGTCCTTAGTGGCTTCTTTTAATTTAATCACCTTTTAATTTTATGTACTTGGGCTGGAGAGATGGCTCAGTGGTTAAGAGCACTGGCTGTTCTTCCAGTAGTCCTTAGTTCAATTCCCAGCAACCACATGGTGGCTCATAACTATCTGTAGTGAAATCTGGTGCCATCTTCTGGTGTACAGGCACACATGCAGGCAGAACATGTATAAATAATAAATAACCATTTTGAGAGTCTCACTAGTTAGCCTGGAATGATGTTAAGCTTCAGATTCTCTGACCTCAGCCTCTTGAATTTTCACAGTATGATGACTTACATGGCTGGCTTCCTTACCTTATTAAAGATGTGTTTCCAAATACAGTCATATTCTGAGAATCTGGGGGTAAAAGCTTCAACATATACATTTTGGGAACATAATGTAGCCTTGGACAATGACCCAGAATGAATAATTTGTTGTTGGACTTGTTGCTTCTGCCTATATTCAATATCAGTTTCTTCTTAGTACTGTAAAGTATTCCTTCGACAGTCTTCAGTAGAACCCTGTCTTCTGTTTTATGAAGGTGGATAACGGCATGAGCTCACAGTTCAAACCAACAGCCAAGGACACACAATGGCTATTGTCACTTTTCATTCCCAGGGATTAAGTCAGGTTAGCCTAGCAGGATAAGCCACTTCTGTAGTACCTCTATACAATGCTCCAGTTAATTTAGTTTTAGAGCAGATGGCAGATACTACACATCTATAGAATATTTGTATACATTAGAGAGCAGGTTTGAGGACAAAGAGGAGTTGGTAAGAATATAATATAATGTAACCATACGAGTGGCATAATCAAATCACAAAGACTGGCTAGGTTACCCCAGATAATTATCATATGTGGATTCCTGAATATTTTCACAAGAACTTTGCTCCATAGAGTTTTGCATGTCCAACTTTTATCATCTAAATACCTCACACACTCTGCTGGTATAGTAGTGAGCAAAGCAGCCTTCCAAATTATGCTTTACAATTTGAAATGCCCTTAAACGCTTTCAGACTGTGTTCTAATTTGCTATCTGTTGCTGTGATTATGGCTCACAGTGCACCAGGACAAGGAGTCAGAGCAAGAATATGAGGCAGGAACCTAGGTAATAATTGAAGTAGAAGTTGTGGAGGAATGCTGCTTACTGGCTTGCTCCCTGTGGTTTGTTTATTTTGCTTTTATTTTTAGATTTTAAAAATTATTTTATGTGCATGAGTGTGTCCATGTGTGTATATGCACCCCATGTGTGCCTGGTATATATAGGAAGGTCAGAAGAGGTCTTTGGATCCTCTGAGACTGTAGTTACAGACAGTTGCAAGCCACCATGTGAATGCTGGGAATCAAGCCCTGGTCCTTTGTAATGGCAACAAATGCTCTTAACCACAAACTCAGCTCACCCTACAGCCTTTAGTTTGCTTTCTTGTACACCTAAGGACCACCTTCCGCAGGATGACACCACCCACATGGGCTGGGCTTTCTCAAAACAATCATCAATTGAGAAAATATCCAGTAGACATGCCCACAGGCCAGTCTTATGAGGCAATTCCTCAACTGAGGCTCATTCTTCCTAGATTACTCCATCATGTGTCCTGTTGACAAAACAACAAAACCCCAACCAGCACAGATAGTCTCATATGGCAACAACCCTATACTTAGTTGATTATCTCAACCCATTTATAAAGTAGGTTTGAGAAGAATGTTATCACCTTCATTTTATAGATTAACAAATGGAGGCATAGTCAACACAGAAGTTAAAGAGCCAGTTAACTACAAAGCTAGGATTTGACTCCTTTGATTCCTGGACTGGTCCTTTAAATTCTATAGGTTTGACATGGTTTATAACCCCTTTTCTGTGTGCCAAGCTAGTCTATAGTGATTAGCAATATTAGAATTATAATATGTTCCGGAGTAAAAAAAAAATAGTTACCATTTCATTATTATTATTTTGCATTTAATTGGGTGTCAGAGAACAACTTGTGTGTCAGTTCTCTCCTTCCATCATATGGATTCAGGTCATTCAGCTAGATGGCAAGCACCTTTACCTACTTAGCCATCTTGCTGTCACACCATGCTTTCTCTTTTCTGTTTCCTGGTTTATTTTTTAGGACTCATGTCTTTTGAGGTGATATTTGAGTGGGTGGATGGGATAGCAAAAACAGAGAAACACGAAAGGATTTGAAAGGTTATTTTCTGTGCGTGATGGGACAGAAGCTTAGTTTAGCTCCTTATTTATAAGAATAACTCACTTTCTTTGGAGAACTATTAGAGGCTCAAACTAGAGAAATTGCCAGCTCTAATGTACGAGATTTGTCAAAAGCTGAAAAAAACCAAGCAGAGATGTGAAAATAGCCCGTTTTGTTTTTGTTTTGTTTTGTTTTGGTCCTGCTGTCCTGTAGTCCTGCAGAACATTGCTTTATGCTAAGTGTTATTCATAATCGGATTTGAGAAATGTGTCATCTTAACTGACTACCAAGGGGCTGGTTACTGTAGCTAATGGCAAGAGAATTTGTCAGAGATGAGTCTTTGCTTGACACTTCATGTTCTGGGCAGGAGGAGCTTTGTGTTCAGAAGGTGACCTTGAAAGACTTTTTCACTAAAGACCCTGGAATGGTCTATGAGTTGATCCCACTCTATTTCCAGGAAAGGTAAGCCTGGAGCAGCCAGACAGGAAGTAGGAGGCTGCAGGCTTGCATAGCCTGGGTTTGAAGTTTGCTTACTGAGAGTAGAGGCCCACATGCTAGTTAGACCCGCCTTTCATATATCAGTCACATCTGGGATCTCAGACTAGGATATAAAAGTGATGTGGGGTATGGTGGCCTTTAACCTCTCAAAATCAAAACAAAAACAATGTAAAATGAGAGTGTATGTATGCACCACCATCTGTGAAGAATGTAACTTATACAGAAGTCTTAGGGCCATGACGAGGAAGCTGTGAGTCCCAGATGAGAGGCTTGGGCTGCCTCTTCCAACCAAGCATTGAGAGGTATAATGGTCTGTCATTCTAGATGGTTGCTGGGACTTGAGTTCAGGACATTTGGAAGAACAGTCAGTGCTCTTAACCTCTGAGCTGTCTCTCTATCCCCTTGTTTTAATGTTGTTTTCCTTTATTCTTTCCTAGCACCATGACCAGTTGTAGCTATCAGCAGTCCCACTACCAGCTCTTGTTGAGGGAACCCGACATCTTTGAAGATCTCCTGGGCTTGATGATCCACATCTCTCCAGATGCTTTCACCCAGATTAATACCACTGGTGCAGAGATGCTGTATCAGACCATCGGGGAGTTGAGTGAAATGAACTCAGTATTCTGCTGGACATTTGCTATGGAACAGGCAAGTGGCCACCCTAGAAAGAGTCTGTTGTTTAACTGTCAAATGCCATCTACCCAGAACTTAGGGTTTTTTCAATGGGGGTGGGGTTGTGGTGGGAAGGATAGTAGTGATGGTGTAAATAGAACCATGTTGGTTTAAAACACAGAAATAATCTTTTATTTCTTTCTTCTGCAAGTGTGATGGTTCTCTGTCCAGCTCAGCATGTCTCCCTGGTCCTTGGCACTGAGCTGGTGGAGCCGGCAGGAGAAGATGCCCGGTGGACTGCAGCCTCCAATGGTACCTAGATCAGAATCTGAGGAAAAATATAGAGATGGAGTTGAGGGCCTCCAGATATAGCTCAATGACAGACTGCTTGCTTAGCATGTGTGAGGCCCAGGGGCCCATTACTAGCACCTTAAAAACAAACAAACAAACAAACAGAAATGCAGTTGTTTTTTTATACTAAGGGCAGACCTATTGTATCTCTAACTTATAGGAAGGCAGAGTTATAGAGTAGCCATAGATGGATCTTGATGTTTTCTAGAAGGGGTCCTAATAACTATTTCTCTTTTCATTCCAGAGAAGAGCCCAAGGCAAGTACAAGCCTAGTTGGTAGGAAGGGAAATGATAAAATGTTGAACATAATGGAAGAATCTGCTTTAATTAGACTCCGAAGACATCAGAGCCTACTACAGTAAGTTTTAATCTTAGAGTTTTGGCCTGGAATTGGTGTCAACACCTTTAATTCCAGCACTCAGGATGCTGGGGGAGAGGCAAGTGGGTTTCTGTATTCTCCAGACCAACCTGGTCTACACAGTGAGTTCACAGCCAGCCAGGGCTATAGTGAATATTACAATTTAAGAAATAGGGAGGCTGGAGAAATGACTCAGAGGTTAAGAGCACTGGCTGCCCTTCTAGAGGTCCTAATTCAATTCCCAGCAACCACATGGTGGCTCACAATTATTTATAAGGAGATCTGGTGCCTTCTTCTGGCCTGCACGTGTACATGCAGACATAATAAACACATCTTAAAAAAAAAAAAAAAAGAAATAGAACCTTTTTTTTTTTCCTCCCAAACAGGACTTTCACTTCTTTGGTTTGTGTCACACCAAGGTACTTAGAAGCAGATGCTGAGACTCATAGCTAAAGTTTGGGCAGAGTGCAGGGAATCTTATGAAAGAAGGGGGAGATAGAAAGACCTGATGAGGACAGGAGCTCCACAAGGAGAGCAACAGAAACAAAAAATCTTGGCCCAGGTGACTTTGCAGAGACTGATACTGCTACCAAGCCACGCATGGAGATAGCCTAGAATCCTTGCACAGATTTAGCCCATGGCAGCTCAGTCTCCAAGTGGGTACCCTAGTAAGGGGAACAGGGGTTGTCTCTGACAAGATCTCAGTAGCTGGCTCTTTGATCATCTCCCTCTGAGGGTTCAGGGGTGGGGGTGGGGGTGGGGTAGACAGCTTTACCATGCCACAGAAGAAGACAATGCAGCCAGTCCTGATGAAATCTGATAGGCTAGGGTCAGATGGAAGGAGAGGAAGAACTTCCCTATCAGTGGACTTGGGGAGGGGCAAGGAAGAAGAGTGATAGAGGGTGGGATTGGGAGCGGACGAGGGATGGGGCTGTACCTGGGGTACAAAGTGAATAAATTGTAATTAATAAAAATAAAAAATTTAAAAAAGAAATAGAACCTTTTTCTTTAAGTAAAATGACAAATTGCAATATAAGAAATAGTTTGTCTTCTTTGCTTTATTCTACTTCCATACAGTTTTTAGTTGTTTATTATCATTATCATCATCATTATTATTATCATCATCATTATTATTATTTTGATGTATCTGGGACTGGCCTTGAAAGCCTTATCTCTTTCTTTGTCTCCTAAGTGCTGGGATTATAGATGAGTGCCAACATTTCCAACTTTCAGACAGTTTTTTGAGGTACCCAGTGAAAACGTGGGATGCAGCAGGAAGAGCACTCAAGTGAACATGAAGGTTTTTGTTGTGGTGTACGTACTTAGATGCTGTGTGTCTAGTCACTTCAGTTGGTAGGTTCAGACTTTCCTTGGGAAAGTAGCTGCAGGTCCAAGAGGATTTCTTTGTTCTTCAGAGGTACAACATAGCCAAAAGGACTCTGGTTGCTATGTAATATAGTTCTATAAAGCTGAAGCTTACCACTTGTTGAGCTCACATTATGTCACATGGTGCTTTCTTTTCCAGGTGTCACTATGAGTTTCATGCTGGTGGAGTGGAGAAGATTTTACCAGAGCTGTTAAAGTCGCAGAAAGATGAGAAGTTAACTGTTGGTGTGGTGAACCCTGCCCATGATGGACTATGTAAGGAGGAAGGGCAACGTGGGTGTTCCCCATGTGTCCACCAGTTCTGTGCCTTTATTCCCATACCAGGATAAGGGACCCCAGTATGAGGAATCCCTGAAGCAGCTTTCCCATTCTTTAGCAGTCCCCAGTACTGGTTAGCATGGAGTTTGGAATAAAAGGGAATATGCTGGGTTAATTCTATTAACATATTTCCAAGTGGTCATATTACCAAGTGGTGCAAGCCATTCAGAACAGCAGGGCCATCCACACTCTAGTTTTTGTTTCCTGGAAGCCCCATGGGGAAAGCACAAGGGACTTCGTTGTGTGACTCTTGCCTTTTTTTTTTTTTAATATTATTTTTTCATGAGCTGAGCATAGTGCTCAGTTGATAGAGTGATTGCCTCCCATGCATGATGCCCTGGGTTTGATCTTCGGTACCACATAAAACAAGGGTAGGAGAGGCAGAAGGATTAGAAGTGCAAGATCATCCTTGCTATGTAGTACATGAGATTGAATCCCTTGTGGTATAAGCAAGACCCAGTCCCATTGAAAAAGCAAAAACCAAAATTATTTTTCTAAAAATCAGATTAATGCATGCTTTTATATGCAATTTAGAAAATGCAGAGAAACAGAAAAATGAAGAAAGGAAAAAAAAAGCACTATACCACTTTACTTGCTTGTTTGCTTGATTTATTTATTTATTTATTTATCTATCTATTTATTTATTTATTTATTTATTCATCTATCTATCTATCTATCTATCTATCTATCTATCTATCTATCTGTCTATTGAGGCAGGGTTTCTCTGCAGAGCCTTGCTATACTAAAATTCACTATTTTAGACCTGGCTGGCCTTGAACTCACAGAGATAAGCCGGCCTCTGCCTCCTGAGTGTTATGATGCTATGATTCAGGTCACCACACCTGGCACAATATACCTCTTTAAAAATAAGTTTTCTTTTGTTAAAATTATATGTATGAACCTGAATAAGTTTATGTGCATTCACGAAAGGTCATGCATACCAGAAGAGGTTGTCAGATCTTCTGGAACTGGAGTTACAAGCAGTTGTGAGCTACCATGTGGATGTTGGGATCCAAACTTGTGTTTTTTTTTGTAAGAACAGTTATTGCTCTTTAACTGGTGAGTCATTTCTCCATCCCTGATTATATCACTTTAAGAAATAATTATAAAGATTTGTCTAGGGTGAGACAAATCAGGTAGTCACGTTGAGTACAATTTTTTAAAAGGGGTACCAAAAATCTTAATGATCAAGAAAAAGTTTAATACAATATTTCAGAAAAACAATCCTCTCAAATCTTGAAGGTCCTTTTAAAAAACTTAGTGCCAGGTGTGGTAACCTGAATTTGTAATCTCATCACCAGGGAAATAGAAACAGACGAATCCCTACTGCTTGCTCATCAGTCAGTGAGCTGGCTAAAAAGAAGTGTTATCTCAAGGGAGGTGGATGGCATTCTTGAAGATGACACTTGAAGTTGCCATCTGTTCTCCATGAATGTGCACACACGCGCGCGCGCACACACACACACACACACACACACACACACACACACACACACACACGGGTTGCGTGCGTGATACTGGATTCAATTCCCAACCCAAAAACATGTTGAAAAGGAGGGATCTGATAAACTTTTTAATAGATTCTACATGAATATATGATACTTGTTTCTTTGGCTTATTTCATATAACATTATTTTTTCCACCCTCATTTTATTACAAATGTTTATCATTCTCTTTTATAGCTGAATAATAACCCAGTTTTTTTTTTTTACTACATTTTCTCTATCCATCTATTGATAGAAATCTTTTTTTTTTTTTTTTTTTTTTTTTGGCTGTTGGGAATGGTGTAGCTGGAAATGTTAATGCAGGTATCTCATTATATGCTGATTAAATTCCCTTTGGGCTATTTGAAGAAATAGTACAGCTAGGTCATATGGTAGATTTACTTTTAGTTTTCCTTTTGGTGTTGTTTTGGTTTGGTTTTGTCCAGACAGGGTGGGAGGGGGATAGAGGAAAGCATTTAGAATGTAACAAGTGAAGCTAAATCAACCAAAGATAAGACTGAGGATAATGGGGTTTTTTGGCCTGGGGCGGGGGTTGAGACAGTGTTTCTCTGTGTAGCCCTGGATGTCCTAGAACTCACTCTGTAGACAAGGCTAGACTCCCTCTGCTTCCCAAGTGCTGGGATCAAGGGTGTGAGCCACCATCGCCTGGCCTGGCCCCAGGTCTCTCTTTAAAAAAAAATATCTTCACATATATTTGTTTGTTTGTTTGTTTATTTATTTGTGGTGTGTGTGTGTGTGTGTGTGTGTGTGTGTGTGCATATTTGTGTGTGTGTGTGTACCTGAAAGTATATATGGAGGTCAGTAGGTCTTGGAGTTTGAACTTAGGTTTTCAAGCTTGGTTGCAAGTGTTTTTACTCACTGAGCAATATTGCCAGCTCCTAACTCTTTTTAACCGTAACCATTCTAATAGGGAAGAGACTTTGTTGTGTGTTTTTAAAGTTTTAAATTCTGTTTTCTCATTACTCAAAGTGCAGAGAATAAGTGTTGGTAGAATGCTTAGCCATGGATAGGACATCTACACCATCCTACTTAGGAACCTTTGCAAAAGAGGGGACAGAAAGATGTTAAGAGCTCTGGCGTCTGATTTCAGGGAGAAACAGTATATTCTTGACGTGAGAGGACCACTGTACTCATGAACTCACAGCAGCTGTGTTTGCCTGCACAAGAACTGAACAAGAGCAAACCAGCCACCATTCTAGCATGGAAGGGGAGCAGCTCATGAGTCCCTACCCCTGCATGAAGAGCTATTGATAGTTAAACCTATTGGGGCAAGTAGAGCAAGTTTTTTGGGGGGATGTGTTCCTTGATAGGTTGACCATGCTTTTAGTATATATACTTTAATGTGCCTTACCCGAGAAGCAGTCCAGTGTCTCTTTTTTTGATTATAGAAAAAGGGAGGAATGTTAGCATATAGGCAGCTTGCTTCTGGGTTGCCTAGCAACCTATGATGTGTCGCTCACCAGCTGTGTGGCAGATGTGGTTCAGCTGTGCATGCACAACTATAAAAGGACCAGCCCACCACTTTGTCTCCCTCTTACTCTCCTCTCTTATCCTCCTCTCTTGCTCTCTCCACCTCTCTTTCTTTCCTGGGGACCCCCTACTATGTCTTTTTCTCTCTCCTTTCCCTCTCTGTCTCTCCACCTCCATCCAGTAAATCTCTTTCATACAATATCCGTTGTGTGCATGGCATCATTTTAAAATAAATACTAACACATGCTCTAGAGGATGGTCCCATACCCATGTGTGTTTGGGCAGCACAAATTGAACTTGATGGGTTATTACAAAAAAAGACATGAAGTTTGGAGGGGGTAGGGAGTTGGGGTAGATATAGGAGGAGTTATGGGGAGGAGGTAGGGAGGCTGAATATGAGCAGAATACATTGTATATGCGTATGAAATTCTCAGGGAATTAATACAAATACATTTTTTAAAAAAAGGAATTTTAAAAGCCAGGTGTAGAAGTGCCTATATATAACGCCAGCTCTTAGTGTAGGTCACATAGTTAGTAAGATCCTCTCTCAAAAACTAATATTAAAAACAAAACAAAAAACAGCCAGGTGTTGTGGCCCAAGGCTTTAATACCAGCATTCAGGAAGGCAGATCTCTCTAAGTTTTCAGCCAATCTGGTCTACATAGTGAGTTCCAGGCCAGGCAGGAATATATATTAAGACCTTGTATAAAAAAAATACCCCCTCTAAAAGAACCCCAACCCCCCAACCCCCCATATATCAGTGAACTATAAAACAAAATGAAAGATATGACAAATAAATGTTATTGTGAAAAAAAATAGGTAAATGGACCTGGTCAAGAACATAAAAGGGTAAAATACAAAAATATAGCCATAAATCATAAAGCAGAATAACTACAGATTTGTAGGATTTGTTCTTTAAACAAGGTCTCAGTATGTAGCCCTGCCTGACTAGGAGCTCACTCCATAGACCATATTAGCTTTGATATTATGGCAATCCTATTTCTGCCTCCCAAGTGCCTTCCAGGGTTACACCATCACACTCAATCTGATTTATTTTTCAATTATAAGAAAGTGCTCAAGAAAAGATGGCTCAGCCATTGGGAGCACTGGCTGCTCTTCCAGAAGTCCTGAGTTCAATTCCCGCCAACCACATGGTAGCTCACCACCATCTGTAGTGGAATCTGATTCCCTCTTCTGCTGTACATGAAAAAAGAGCACTCATATACATAGAATAAATAATAAATAAAAATCTTTAAAAAATATTAGAGCTTGCTTTAAAAACATTTGAGCTTGGTGGTGCTGGTACACCTTTTTAACCCTAGAACTAGGAAGGCAGAAGAAGGTGGGTCTCTGTGAGTTTGAGGCTAGCCTGGTCTACAAAGTGAGTTGCAGGATAGCCAGGGCTACACAGAGAAATCCTGTCTTTAAAAACCAAAATAGATAGATGAGAGAGAGAGAGAGAGAGAGAGAGAGAGAGAGAGAGAACACATTTGAAAGTCTACATAAAGTTTGTGATTTTCCTGGAAAAATACAAATGGCCATTGTTAATTCCATAAAACAAGTTAAGTCCTGAACAGATTAGTGAGCACGGAAACAAAAACAAAACAAAGATCTGCCACACAAGATGGGTGTGGTGTGTATGTCTGTAATTCCAAGTCCTCAGGAAACTAAGTCAGGAGGGAAAACATGAAAACAAAATGGGGCTGGGTTACATAGTGATTTTGAGGTCAGACAGCTATGTAGTGATACTACCATCTCATATAGTTCAAGGGTTGGGGGTGGGGGGTTCTATGCCAAATGAAAATTAGGCTCAGTCTACCCATCTTATTTGCATGTCTGTCTCCGTACAATTACTTTTTCATTTTTTTTTGTTTTTGAATATGATATAAAGATGGTATCTCTTATCAGTCATCAAAATGGACTATTCAATAAATCATGATTGACAACTGTACAGACACTGCAAAAAAAAGTTGAATCTATATCTAGACTAAATTAGAATAAATTATAAGCAGGTCAAAGATTTAAATGTAAAAAATGGGAATTCATAAATGTACTCTAGGAAACCATAGGCTTTTTAAAATAATTATCCTGTGCTTTCTAACTGAGAGTTCAGAAGACATAGAATAAAAGGCAGATATTTATTAATTTTGTTTAGCATGCATGCAAAGATATTGGTTTTATTGTAACTTTTAAAGAATATTTTATTTTTTTATTTTTATTTATTATGAAGGAGGGGCACTTGTATGAGTTCATTCTCTCCTTCCACTC